GATCAGTGTATTAAAAGTGGTCCTAAAGAGTCTGGAATGGAATGTGGCCTATTGAAAACGAAATCTTTTGACCACAATGTGCTCACTTATTTCCCTGTCGTTTGGCTAGTTCGGCTGCTCCAATATCGCATCTAATAGCCAGTTTAATATGAAGTTATAAATTTCACACACACAAGCAAGGAAGGGGCACGAGTAGGAGGCCAAGAGATACCCATACAACGGCAAACAATTTACGATGACACATTGTCGTCGTATTTCTCGTAGCTGCTGTTCTGGGCATGGTAAGCCACCAGGCCACCAACGAACTTAAGCAGTCAACTCGTTTTTGTCTGAACCGCAAGTACAGCCTCACCCTGATCCCCAACTCACCCTAGACAAGCTCCCCTCGCTTTGCATCGCCTCGTCTCGCCACGCCGCTGACTTGCCACACTTTAGTTAAGCTCAAAATGATTGCGTATAATTTGGCAGCATTTAGTGTCGACGGGAGGACTGAAGAATGCTGGGCTGGTCCACACACAGCTGCCACGCTTTGTGCCGACTGCCGACTGTCGACTGGCAACTGGCAACTGCCATCTACTAACGGGCGGCGGCTGCTGCAGGATCTCTCATTCATTTCAACAAGGATTATTTACTTCGCCAAAGATTCAATAACAATTTTGAAATGAGCGTAATTTCGTTAAGCTTGCGTCCTGGCATAAGCCAAAATAATGTCGCATAAAGCGTGAAGCAATGCTGCTCAACGTTACTTGGAAGTCCTTTCTCCGTCCACTCCCCCTCCTCTCCCCCACCATCCCCGACGACAACAATTGGCCTCTGTGCGCAAGGACAGCGTCAAAGGCGGCCAGCTACAACAAAAACAGCGCAGAATTTAGGGCTTTTCCCTCCTAGAGTGCAATTCCTGGACACTTGCAAGCACAACAGGGGACGGCTGGTGCTAGGAGTGGAAAGTGGACAAGCGAACGGACAGGCGGATTGGCGGACAGACATAGCTGATCCCAGTCGAGTGCCTGCTCATCCGACTAGCGCCATCGTGTCACATTACAACATTTTGTCGCCGCCGGCAAAGCCTTTTTGTGTCCTTGACGTTGGCGATGTTGCGGTTTGGTTGAAATTAAATTCTGCTGCTTGTGCGGCTAAGTCGTCGGGCTCATTAAAATCGATTGACGGCAAGTGCCTTGTCTCCCCTTAAATTCAATTAGTTTTAGTCAAATTTGTTGCGACCCCACCCTCACCCCCTCCAGCAGAGGAACCGCTGGCAAAACAATGCAACATCCAAGAGGTAGCCGATGGAGCTTAAAGGCCGGGGGGGATTAGGGCTATGCTTAGTGGCATGGATTTGCAGAAGCCCTATGAATTTTGTTTTACGCTGGAGGTAACGGCTTTATGTTCTTTACACTTTATATTATACGGATTTAACAAGCCATCTTAATCACTAGGCCTCACAATTGAGAGAAGAAAAATATCGTAAAATCAAAATTTTATTGCACAGCCTCAATCACTCCATCTAGACGTTTAAAATGGGTGAAAACGACGTTCCCAGACAGTCGGTATATCTTGGATTTGGATAATAATTTGGAAAAGGATAATATTTTTCCCCTAATATACTTGTATAGTGGATAAAGGGAAATAAATTGAGGTAGTGTGATTGCTTCCAACAACATGTGGGAATTAAGTAATTGATTGAAAGCTTCGTGATTTGCTCGCATTAAGAACAGAACTGAGTGAATGATGTACATATATAGTTTTCGACTAGCTCGCACAGATATACAAGTAAATATGCGTTAGAGCAGAGACTAGTGACCAGCTCCTGCTCCAGCACAGAAGCAGAATGAGAAAATCTTTTGCGCAAATGTCTAACTGCGCTCACGCAATTATGTAATGCACACTTAAGCTCCACACCCATATCCACACACCCACGAGCATTCACAATTAAGGCGCTAGCTTATCAATTAAAAGCTTTGCACAGACAGAGACGGAGACAGGAACGGAGACAGAGACAGAGACGGAGACACAAACATAAGCACCGAAGCGGCATGTGGTGGTGGGAGGAGAGTGGAAAAGGAGTGAGAAGTAAGTAAGGCGATAAAACGCCGTTAATTAAGCGCTGAGCTGATGGCATTTTATCAAGTCATTTTCGGGTTTTTGTGTAATTTTAATTAATTTTTATTACACGCCGCCACGGCTCATTTCCTGAGCCGACAAAGTCAGCTCCAATTATGGGCTGTTAACAGACCACAGAACGGACCGGCTGAAGGCCAACCAGTCCTTCACTCCCTTGGGACGAGCAGGAGAGAGAAAGGGTCCTGCGCTGCCTATGCATTCGATGGCTACTAACTAAACGAGCTACTGAGACAGGCACAATTCTGAAAATGTGATTACCATAACTGATTAAATGCATCGATGGAAAACAATCAGATGTAACTGACGATGTTGTGCAGGGACCTGCAGCGATCTAATGAAATAATTGGGGACCACAGCAACAACTCGATGCATTCCATGAGGGACGCTTCGACGGACCTTTGTTGAGCAGGACTGCACTGCATGTCCATGTCCTGCAAAGGTATTGTTCAAGCGTTTGGCTGTTTCGCCCAAATGAAGGAAATGCAATTTCATGATTGTTAAACACCTCGGCATAGGCGCACCGAATTCCCTGCTCAACTGCAGCATCTGTAACTAGCCAGTGTTGTGTGGCAGGATGGTGGTGGTGTGGTGGGAAGGGGGGTAGGGGGGCTATGCACTGTTTTTGGACTCCGGACTAATCCAATCTGCCAGCTGGTGCTGTCTATCTAACGCATCGCCAGTCAGACACTGAGCTGACCAGCTGAACAATAACTCCCGCTCCAGGCAAGCCTAGCCATGCCATGTAATTGTTATGCATTTTGGGGGAAATTAGTTTTGGGTTGTTTGCGTTTGCATTTGCATTTGCGTTTCTTCCTTTTCACTACAATCACGTGCGGCATACACGTTACTTGGATGTGGATGCGATGGTGGATGTGGATGTGGATGCGAATCCATTGAGCCCCCGCTCGCTTAAAATGCGCAATGCATGTGCAAATCTAATAATTCTTTGCCAACTGTCACTCCATTAGCGGCATACGCGCTGAAATGAGCAAAGTTTCCAGCACAAATGACGGACTCGGCCGGGCCGCGAGGGGTGTTGTGGGTTGGTATGCCTGGGTCGGGGTCTAGGGTCTGGGACAGCCCTGGGTGCAGGCCAAAGGCCAGCCATTTCCTGTTGTTCGCTTTTTGCTTGGGTCAGTCGAGGCCAGAGTCTAAAATTTGAGCTACAATCAAGGAGAGGCAGCGTCTTCAATTTCAAGCCCATTTCTGAATTTGCGATTCTGGTGTGTAAACAGTGCGTGGGCCTGGACGCTATTAATTCCAAATGGCAGACAATCTCTTCTCCATGGTGTTCTTTGGTGTCTCTGGTTTTCTCTACACTCCCGTATGTATGTACGTGGCCTGTTCTAAAGAAATGGTGAAGGTTTTCCTCACTGTTTTCTTCGATTACAATGCGTGGTGCATCATGAGTTCTTGCCAACAGGTCGAACGGTTAATAAGGAATACTACAAGGAAGTTTAGAAACGTTTGTGTGTATATATTTCTATACATAGTCTATGCAAAAGAAAAGGTGAATTTTGAAATCCTTTGAAAATCATTTACTTATTCCTCAAAATCCATCTTGCCCCCTTCAAAGTAATCCCCCTAAGATATAATACACTTTTTTTCCTACAAGTATTCCAAAAACTGAAGAGACCAATGAAAGGAAAGTGTGTTGCCTCAACTGATGCGATCAAATCAAATGAAGAACGATTTGATGGCCATACCAAAAGTGCAATTCAGAAGTCCTTCGAGGATTGCAAGAAGCGCTGGCATTACATCTGAGGAGGATTACTTTGAATGGGACAAAATGGATGTTGATGAATAAATAAACGCTTTTCAATTAAATTAGCAATTCACCATTTCTTTTGGACAGACCACGTTCGTATGTGAGTTTGTTGGTGCATCGATCTTTCAATGTCTCCGCTACCGTTTAGCTGCCTGTCTATCTGCCTCCCCGTCTCTCTCTTTGCTGTTTTTCTGTCTGTCTGTCTGTCTGGTTGTCCAACGCTCTTCGTCCTGTCTGTCCGTGGCCGTGCGTGTGTGAGTTCGAGGTTTGGCGATTTATTTTGCACAAGTTTTAATTTCCGGCAAATTTCCTAGTACAATTTCCCTTTTTGTAGCTAACGCTGCCGTTGCCAGTGCCGTTTCCATTACCATCGCCAGCGCCTTTGCCTTTGCCTTAGCCTTCACTCCCACCGATAGCTTTTGCTCTTTGCTCCAGCTGGAGCAGTTCAAAGTCGGTCATGCCGTCCGATTTCGAGAAACCCGAGCAGTATGTCTGCACTTGGGTGTGTGTGTGTGTGTGTGTGTGTACTTGCTGTTCGACATAAGTTCTCGTTATTTGGCAGTTGATAAAAAACTGCATTTGATGGGCGTGAATTGCTTGTCTTTTCGTATCAGCTTAAGTTTATGGGTTTTTGTGCAACGCATGCAAAAAACAATTCTGCAAATTCCAAGGCTTCAAGAAGACAAAATTGGGAGGATTTACCAACGATAGCAGGGCATTGCATTCGCTGCAAAAATACCCAAAATCAATGAAATGTTCACCATTATATAATATTTGCGAGTATACATATATAGTGTGTATGTAGTATTGCTGATTGTTGAAAATTATGGACGCAATGTTTTTTAATCACATTTATCATTCCATAAACTTGTATCCACTCCGGGCAATTTAACAATGTATTACTGACAGTGGACAGGCTGTAGTCATCGTATTTATAATGGTAATCGGCGTAGCCCCTAAATTTCACTTTGTGGAAATGCCATAAAATACACAAATCAGATAAATACGTTTCTTTTTCGTACAAAATACATTTTTAATTTTACTTTTCAAATAAATATCTACATCAAAAAATTTACATATTTTTTATATCGAAAAAGATAGTATTGCTCTTTTTTCTATAGCTGCTGCGGGAGCTCTTCGAGAATTGATTTGAGGCTCAACTCGTTAATGAGCTGCAACAACAGGAACCCAACTCTCTTCATGCCGCATCAAGGAAAGACAATAGCTGATGCTCAATAGCGCGTTGCTCTAAAGTTCAATCTGGGTATAAGGTCATAGTCCGTGAGGTGCTTCAGATATAAGCTTAAGTTCAATCCGGTGGTAAAGTTCAAAATTGAGAGCTGGAGGAAATGGAGGGAGAATGTGGAATATTAACTCACCATTCGGGAATGAGATCTGTGCACTTACATGTTCTTAAACGTTCAATCACATATAAATTGTGCATTATCTCTCTCTCTCTCTCTCTCTCTCTCTCTCTCTCTCTCTACAACTTATTTCATCTTTCTTTCAATCATAAAGTACAAGTATATCTAAGTCCGGGTATCAAATCAAAATTTGATTATGTATATATATGTATGCATATGGTTAGCCAGCAGTTTAATTTCATCTTCTGTATGACGTAGTCTAGTACTTCTCCAATATACGAGTGTAAAGGTGTAGAATAATGCTGCTGAAAAGATCACCTTCTTGGATTTGGCTGCCACATCAAACATATAGATGAACACTTACTTGATCAGTCATGTTGATGCGTTTGATGTTCAGATGACTGGTCGTTGTCATTGTCATTGTATTTTTATTTGATTTGATCGTACAAATAAAAATGTGTTCAAATGTGGCTTCGCCTGTGGATCAAATAAAATGAACATACTTCTCTAAGCCCGGATTTGCAAACTTACATTTATACATTTATCCTTACTATGATGTACTTTGTGAGTGTATAAGTGTTTATGTATCTATGTATGTATGTATGTATGTATGCAGGTATGTATGTATGCAGGTATGTAGGTATGTGCGTAGATATGTATGTAGATATGTATGTAGATATGTATGTAGATATGTATGTAGATATGTATGTAGATATGTATGTAGATATGTATGTAGATATGTATGTAGATATGTATGTAGATATGTATGTGTATTGATGGTTTATTTGATCTTTCTTGATTGAATGGTGCTGCAGGAACCATCAGCAAAGTTCATTAATTATATTATGCTTACGCACTCCGCAGTCCGGTTTATTTCATAAAATAGGTATGTTGTATGCTGTTGCGTGCCAGATGGAGTCTTGAGAATATTCACCAACTATTCTAAGAACATCTTCTGGGCTGAACGTTTCAAAGTGTAGAATACGTGTATATGCCGTTTTATGCGAGTAAATGGATCACAAGTGTTGGACAGTGCTGCAGAAAATATCTCTTCTCAGATGACGAACTAGGAATGTTAAAATTTGGATAAACACTTACTTTATGAGCGTCGGAGAGATCCGGTAATCCTTGGTATGTATCTGTTGCTTGAATGTGACTGCTCCTGAGTCTACAGAATAATTAATAACTACACCGAGGCATAGACTTCTCATTTGCTTTGTGGCTCTATAGGTTGCTTCGTTCCTGCTCAACTGGTCCTTCCATGTGCTTCTCGATGTTATGTGTACTATATGGGTCATAGGAACTGTATGTAGTGCTGCAGAAAATCGCACTTACTGGATGGAGCCAACAACTAAGTATGGATAACTTGGATGAATACTTACTTGAGACTGGAATGCAAATGTATTGTAATGCTCTTGAATATAGTATATACGCAGACATTTTTTAAAAAACTTGAAATTGACACTTTTTACTTAAACCTAACAAACATTTCACTTTTAGCTTAATCCTATATTGAAAAATATTTTTTTTTTTTTTTCGTATGTGTTTTCTCTACAAAATATAATTTAAAACTGAACAAATGTTGAGTTCAGACTTGGCATGTTTAATTCAAATTTTGAAAGTAAAGGCAAGCCAACTATGTTTGCTTCTCGGCATGCTTTGCGAGTCTCAAAAATATATATTTTTCGAAAATGGTAGCACATTCGTACAAGTGTTGATGTTTGTTTTTTCATGAATTGGCTTTATTTACTTCACAAATATTTAAATATTTTAATTTTGTAATCATGGCAACTTGCTGACAAATATGGGTAACATATTGCGGCTCGTAAAGGTACGATTCCTGCACTTCTTCCTTTTTATTTTGATTTCGTGTTTTTGCAGGCATTGAGCAAAACTTCCTGAATGGCTGCTGCGACGCGTCACCAATCGTCCACATTTTCGGATGACTTCTGTGCAGCAACAACAACAACAATGAAAGCAATAGTGTTTTGCGTATTTCGGTAAGCGTTTTCGTATTTTCCCCGTTTTGTTATAAAAAATCCGATGCTTTCGGATCCTAGTCTGCTTTTGTTCGAATTCACACCAGAGGCAGCGGCGTCGATGGCCATGGACAGCGGACGATTACCAAATGAACTGATCTACCCCCTTAGATTGGGTAGCGGGATTGGGGAAGGGTGGTAACATTTATTTGGTAACATGTTTCAGTTTTTTATACCCTTTACCCAAAGGCTAAAAGGGTGTTCTAGTGTTGTGCGAATGTATGTAACACACAGAAGAAGGCGTGGCAGATCCCACAAAGTATATATATTCTTGAGTCGATATAACCATGTCCGCCTGTCCGTCAGTATGGACGCAAGGATCTCAGAAGTTACAAGAGCTAGAATTACCAAACTTGGTATCCAGGTTCTCCTAAGCCCTAGGCAGATCAGGTTTGTTTTTTTTTTTTATTCTAATACAGTATGATCGGTATGTCTGTCCATCTCCTGGATCTAAGAGACTATAAGAGCTAGAGACACAAAATTTTGCACAAAGATGCATATTGTGTGTACGCTGTGCAGGTTTGTTGTTTTTTTTTTTGACTTTGTAAAGTACCGTAAAATACACCTATCACAAAAATACGTTTTTGTTTTGTAAAAATACATTTTTAATTTTGATTATCAAACAAATATCTACATCAAAATATATACTTAAAATTTTTGTATCGAAATGGAAATTATTGCTCTTTTTTCCTATAGCTGCTGCGGGAGCTCTTCGAGAATTGATTTGAGGCTCAACTCGTTAATGAGCTGCAACAACAGGAACCCAACTCTCTTCATGCCGCATCAAGGAAAGACAATAGCTGATGCTCAATAGCGCGTTGCTCTAAAGTTCAATCTGGGTATAAGGTCATAGTCCGTGAGGTGCTTCAGATATAAGCTTAAGTTCAATCCGGTGGTAAAGTATAAAATTGAGAGCTGGAGAAAACGGAGGTAGAATGTGGAATATTAACTCACCATTCGGGAATGAGATCTGTGCACTTACACGCTCTTAAAGGTTCAATCACATATAAATTGTGCATTATCTCTCTCTCTCTCTCTCTCTGTCTCTCTCTCTCTCTCTCTACAACTTATTTTATCTTTCTTTCAATCATAAAGCACAAGTATATCTAAGTCCGAGTATGAAATCAAAATTTGTTTATGTGTTTTGCTAACCAGCAGTTAAATTTCATCTCATATAACGTAGTCCAGCACTTCTCCAATATACGAGTGTAAAGGTGTAGAATAATGCTGCAGAAAAGATCACCTTCTTGGATTTGGCTGCCACATCAAACATATAGATGCATACTTACTTGATCAGTCTTGTTGATTCGTTTGTAGATGTTCAGACGACTGGTCATTGTCATTGCAATTGTATTTTTATTTGATTTGATCGTACAAATAAAAATGTGTTCAAATGTGGCTTCACCTGGAGACCAAAATAAAATGTACATACTTCTCTAAACCCGGATTTGCAAACTTACGTGTACATTTAAATTTCTGTAGATGGATCTCTCTCATTTCCTTACTATGATGTTCTTTGTGAGTGTATACTATATGTGTTTATGTATGTATGTATGTTATTATTATGTACTTATATATGCATGTCTTTTGATGGTTTATTTGATCTGTTTTGATATTAGGTGCTGCAGAAAACATCAGTAATTGACTTTGAATCAAAAAATTGCGAATACTTACCTTCTGAGGGATGTGGATATGTCTGTGGATCAACAAATGCCCTGCTATGTGTAGACATTTCAAAATGTACAATATAGGCCGTAGTTTTATGTTTTTATGGGCACGTTTTTTTTGATGTTGTATAAAGCATTATACTATATATTTGATACAAATTTTAAAATGAAACACGTTTTACTTAAATCTACCACTCTTAGAATCACTTTACGCTTAAACTTAAAGTGTATATTCACAATTAAAATTTTTTTTTTGTGTTTTTTCTAAACGAATTTTGGTTTGAAACTGAATATACTTTCAATCCCAATTTGGCATATAGAGGTTGAAGTTTGAAAGTAAAAGGCAAGTTGACTTTGCAGGCTATTCGGTTTGATTTTTTGGGCTCGCCATCGCACACGATCTCATATTCTTTGGGCTCATGGTACTTATAATGATTAACTTTAATTCAAAGTAATAGGGAAAAGTAATTTACTAAGCAATAGCTTATTGAGGCATGGATGGAGCCAGGTCGATTTGTTTAGGGTATAGTAAGCACCCTGCTTCTGTAATCATGCATTTGTCCTGGTTGTATCAATATGCCTACAACTTCAGGAAGGGTTTAACTGGCTTAATAAGGATGTGTTGGTTCGTCAATTGGAATTATGGAATTTAGGAACAAAACTATCTAACTAAACTAACCCATATGGTATATACCTAATTCTGTTTTTACACGGTAGATTTGTTCCAGAAACAGCCGTGTAAAAAAAGACATTCATCATATGCAAAAATAGGTGATTGGTTCCTTATCTCTAATGAAATATATATATGCAATTTTTCATTTTCAAGCCGGTTTATATCAAAATCGTGTAAAAACATGATTCGGTGTATTTGTATATTATTGGGAATGTCAAAAAATGTATAATGCCTCAAATATTGTGCAAAATAAATAAACTATATGAACTGGAACTAGTGTCGGGAATGAAAAACAAAATATAATGCCATTGTCGGTTTAAAAATACAGTCCAAGGTAAGTGGAATTAAAATAATACGAATTGCAACTAAATTTTTTAAAATTAAAAGAAAATATAATGCCATTGTGGGTTCGAAAATACAGTCCGAGGTAAGTGGAATTAAAATTAAATGAATTGCAACTAAATTTTTTAAAATTAAAAAAAAAAAAATAATATTATTGTCGGTTCGAAAATACAGTCCGAGGTAAGTGGAATTAAAATTATACGAATTGCAACTACATTTTTTAAAATTAAAAGAAAATATAATGCCATTGTGGGTTCGAAAATACAGTCCAAGGTTAGTGGAATTAAAATTATACGAATTGCAACTAAATTTTTTAAAATTAAAAGAAAATATAATGCCATTGTCGGTTCGAAAATACAGTCCAAGGTAAGTGCAAATCAAATGATATGAATTGGAACTTCAAATTATAAACGAAATCCTAAGATTTTAGTGGCGGGTCATTATAGACTTGCTTCAACAAGCTGTGAATTATAAGGTGAGGTTATACATTGCCTTTAATATCCGATTTTTAAATACAGAGTCGGCAGAAAAGGAACTAAGAGAGAGTAAGTGCAGAAAAGAATATAAGTTTTAGGGGTGTGGGTAGTTCAAAAATATTCCGAGGCATTAACTATTACCGTTTAGCTTGATACTTGATTGAACGGATGAAAGCATAGCTTCGATTCATGGAGCGAACACTTCTGCCATACCTGGGAAGCCAAACAATCCCAACAGCTTAAATATAAAGTTAGTGTAAAGGGCAAGTTATGGGCTTTGGGGCTTAGCATATTATTTGCATTATGCTGTTTGTATGAAACTGAACAGTAATTGAAATGCTTTCATAAACGAGCAGATTTACATTTCTATACAAATTTCTACCTCTCGCTCTTCTCCCTCCTTGCTTGTCAAATTGCCAATGCATAAGTAATTGCCCAACACCAGTTGGTTCCAGTTGCTCAATCTTCCATAGGAGGCCAAACGAGCGAAGCTGGCCAAATGTGCGACATCGCCATCGATATCGACGTTCACATCCACATCCACAGCCACATCCACATCGGTATCGGTATCTTTGCTAGATTAAATTTCCCAACGAGCCCCGTTCAAAAATCATAAGAAAATTGTTGCCATGCCAGAAGCGATGCTGTGGGACTTTGAGGCCGAGGCGTGTGGATGGGAATGCTGGGTGGAGCCATGACAGACCGACCGGTCGCACGTGCAGTTGAGTGCATTTTTCAGTTAGCTGTCCGGGCCAACTGGCCAGACGTCCAAATTGACCCTCCACATGCCTCCCACTTCCCACCTCCCACCTTCCACCTTCCACCAGCCAGTAATCGTAGTATTCTGGCAGTCACATCTTTTTGTTTGTCTGACTGTCACCAACTTAAATGGAGCAACTGTTGGCTTTCAATATTTGCTTTCTTGCCCAAACTTGTTCTTGCTGTCGTTGTTGTTGTTGTTGTTGTTGGTACTTCTACTGTTATTGCCGTTGCTCGTGTTTACCATTTAGAGCCGTACAAGGCTCGAATTTTTGTGCTTGTCCTTCCCGCTTCTGGTCCTGCTCTCTCCCTCTCTTCCTCTCCGGTGCATATCGCGGCCCACTTTGGCCAAATGACCCACCAGGTGGCTAATCGCCTGTGGCATACACACATACATATGTGCACACTATATACTTGTACAAACGTATTTGGACCACACGCGACTTTTGGCCTGCCACGGCTAATCATTTGGATATAGTTTGTGCTGGGGGAATCCATGCCCCTCACAATCAATATCCAAATCTGAATCAAATGCGAGACTCGACCGAAAAAAAATTGGCGGGCCGTCTGCAAGTTTCAATCATGGTGCAATAAAGATTGTGCAATTGGTTTTCGCTGTGGGCGTTGCGCAAAAGCCGATTTTTTCAATGACCACACCCCTTGCAACGCATTTGACCATGGGCGCCAGTTAAAATGAAAATACCGCTGCTAAGCCGTTGACTGGGACTGCAATGGACAACCAGCCGGATGAACAATGGGATGGGGTGATGTGTGATGGGCGGTGGACAGAGACCGGCGGCAGTTCGTCGGCAAGTTGATCTGCTGAAAAAATCATTGGATTTGACTCGCACACAAAACAGCCACACCAATCGTGGTCGAAAAAAAGTGCGTTCAACCAAAAAACAATTGGCTTTCAATTGGCAGCAATCTTCGCCTGGCCGTTGCTCCTGGTCTTAAATCGATTCGGCATATTGCGCATTGATGTACTCTGTGCTTGTCATTCCAGCCCTTTCATTTGTTCCACCCATCGCCATCGCCATCACTATCTGCTTCAACATCTCCATCAACATCTCCGGCATGATCTCAGTCGGAATCACAATCGCCCGATTTGCATGGCAATGTGTCGGACACTCTCTTTATGACTAAATCGGATTGTGAGCAACATTTTAAGTAGCTTGTCGCCATGTGTCTGCTGCGGCACTTCGTTCTGCTCTTGCCACAAGTTAATACACTCAGTGCTATACCCTCTATCCAAACAGAGAAGGGGTATATTGATGGACTGCTGGAGTATGCGATGATCCTACAGATCCTATCGTGGCTGGTAAAATATTATTTAACTATTAATGTCATCTACTGTCCGGAATGCCGGAACTGCGTAACATTAGGAACACCCAGCAATCACTAACAGCTAGCAATTAAGCTGTGACCAAATAGCGATCGAATAGCTAAGTAGTGACTAATAATCAACAGTGACAATAATCGATAGTATCCGATAATATAGATAATAATGGGTTAATTGATAGAAGAAGGTCGCTTAGTGAAAATTGAGTTTAAGGCGAAATGTCTGCACTTTTTAATTTCCCCTTTTAACTAATTATTTAGAAGTAAACTTAAATTCATTTATATTTATCTTTGCCTAATTAAACACTGTTTGTTATTATTCCTGCCACTTATTCCTCTGATCGGCTTTTAATTGTAAAAATAATTTGTGTCCATTAGAAAGTCGTTCTTTATCTCAATAATATTAGAAGTTACACCTATGTTGTTGAATTTTCCGATTTTATTATTTGATATCCTGCAAACTCACATTAAAATTTGTCTTAGGGATAAATACTCGTATGAATGCAGAAGTGACGAAGGATATCCCGAAGTCGACAGTGTTCAACTAAACGGTTCCATCTTTATTATAAAGAGTACTTCACTGCCGTTCCTGCTCGAGTGTAACATTCTCTCTTGTTTTTTAATTAAAGTTTTGTAGTTCTTCTTTTTTTTGCTTTTGTGCCCAACATTTCTGCTAATTGTCTTAAGCGCATCAACAAACTTTCAACTTTTTCTGCAGTCCATTTCGTTACTTTTTGCCTCCGCCGCAATGTGCAACGAATTGTTCAGCTGAAAAAGGCGAGTGGGGCAGCAACAATGGGCTTTGTTGTTGGCTCATTCCACAAAATACTGAGCTCTGTGTCTTGCCCCGACCTATACAAACTATTTGCCTAATGTTGGAACAATAAAAGACACAACATTCGATTTATTGGCAAATCATTAGAATTAGGGGCATTTTTAGTTCTAGTCAAAAAAGTTTCCGGTTTCCGGTCTCACTTGCCGGAATCGCCAAAACAATTTTTGTCAACAACGGCTAAAATTTCTACAATATTATTTTCAGTTTAGCAGGAAATATTTAGGGTATTTCTGATTCCTGTTTTAGATTCCAGCTTTTCATTTAAATAAAAACTTAAATAGAAGGCACAATTACTTCTGCTGAGGAGTTGACTTTGTCGAATTATTTGAATTATTTAAAGCCCCTGATATGATTGTATTTTAACAACCTATTATCCCGTATTTATACTTAACAGCTACGAAAAGTTGTTCTATGAAACAAATACGAATATCCCACATCTCCCCCCTGGTTTTACTAGTTTTAATAAAAACTGCTCAGTGACTGTTTTTGTCGGGAATTAAGAAAATGAAAATCGGCAGTGAGTCTGGTATTTCGGACTATACATAATTTATGTTCCAATGGACACGCTTTCTCCGGAACACCCCGCAGTAAAACGGTGTAACATTTGTCGAAAAAGATGGCCATCATCCTTTGCCCGGACCTGCAATGCATCGCCAACATCGCCCAACAGCAAAGTTTCATTTCCGTTTCGTACAATTAAACTTATTTAAGTTGACTTTTATTTTGTGCGCTTCCACTGCCCATCGCCTGCGACGCGGCCAGTGCCGGCTGCGGAGCTTGTTATTTAGTAGATTGTTGGCATCCTACTGTTGGCCAAGC